GCAGGCAGAGAAGGAGACTAACTACTAAAATCCAAAATCCATTCCTGGTAACTCAAAGCATAAACATATTGATCAGATACATCAAAATGAAAACACATTATGGATGCCAAAGTCAAGTCTTGGCTTCTAAAAATGTTCAGGACGAGATTCATACCTGTTTTTATAAACTGTCCTCCTCACACTAAGTCACCTTAGTCAAATATTTGATCTTTGCCAGAAGCCCTATGGAGCCATTCCTTGTCATAATGTGTGTCTACTAGTTTAAAATGGAATGCTTCAGTGTATTCTATGTTTCTAAGAGTTTCAAACATGCGATGACAGTAAAATCCAATGTCTGACTTACACAGAGGCTTGTACTGGAGTTTTTTTTTTCCTTCCTTTTTTCTTACCAATCTAGTTCATATTTATAGTTTAAATGGGATACAGGTTTGTATTCTGTCTATACTACTAACTAGCTGTGTGACCTTGAACACACTTTTTAATTAACCAGAAGTTTAGTTTTCTCATAAAAAACATGTTTATTATCTGTCTTGGGTTGTAAAATTTAAGTGAAAAGTAGATGTAAAAATGCTTAGAAACACAGAATGACATTTATTCCAAGTCTAATTTTCAAATTGCTCTAATAAAGGACTTGTTCTAGATTACCATTAAGGTAGCTTTAGACTCTAAAAGTATTTGAATCCTCATAAGCACCATGGTATCTATAAGGCAGCATTGCGTATTTAAATGTGTTTCTCATTAAACACCTGTTTCACTTATCTACTTTGAAAGCATGTGCTGCCAAATTGTGTTCTTAAATGTTTTTAAAAATATACTAAAGCAAACCTATTTCATAATATAACTCAATGTTGAAAAAAATGTGAACAAACTTTTAAGAGGGTAGCAAAGAGCAAAATTGTAATCTAGGGAGAAGAAGCTTATTGCACATAAGAACATATCTTGAATTTCTGATGGCAATGGCAAGTGATTTGTTGCTTAATCTAGAGAAGTAAATGCACCTGACATATGGCAAAAAGAAAACTCTTCTAAAATATTTCAAGATTCTCAATTAAAATACCAATCATGTTTCCATGTAAAAAACACATGGGCCATAACCCGGTGGCCCTTAGTCCTATTCAGTTAAGTGTCTTGTTGTTTTACTAGATATTTAAAAGGTATTTGAGCCCGTGTTTAAAAGTCAGGATTTCATATAGAATCCAAATTTTAGCTTCACTTGACAAATCTGGCAACGCCAAGCCCACATTCTCACATGGCAAAATTTGGCTAGGGCTGTGAAGTAATGCCTCTTTCAGGTGAGTATGTTTTCAGGAGTTCTCCAGTCCTTACTACTGCCCTTTGTTTCCCTTTATCTTACTTGCCCAATCATTACAGGCACTTGCCTTTGCAACTACAGTAAAATACAGAGCAACATATTATATGCCAAACTGTGTAATTTTGTTGTTAATGGGCATTCAGAAGCAAAAATAGTCTCCGGGAACTGAAGGAGGAACAAGGAGCAATCATGGTAAAGCACAGTAAAGGATACTTCATGTAAACCATATTTTTCTTTTGTGAATATTTATTAAGTTAGTCCCTTTAAAGTAAATTCAATCTGCCTAATGCAGGTTGTGAGTGGGGAAGGCAGGAATGGTAGAAATTTTATCTTTTGTCTTATCCAAGACTTGTGGTTGACTAATAGATGGATTTTTAGAAGCCTACTAGACTTTTGAATGTAAGCTAATATTAGAAAAAGGTGAAAGGAGAAGCCCAGAAAAAATGTGTTTTTCAGCAGACACAAAGTAGTGATGCTTACTCTCCTTCAAGCAACTGCTCGCATGCTAGCAGAATGCTTAATTTGGACTGATAATGTTCACCTGGAAATGCCAAGTAACATGTCATATACTGGGAGACTATAGCAGTTTTATTTTGCTCTGCTATCTGGTATCTGTTGGTAGAAAATATTGCATCATGTTCAATTTGACTAATTAATTCAGACTCATGTAAATAAAATGTGCGGTGACTAGATTTTAAATATGCATAGGCCTAAGAATGGGAATTGTTCTTGAGTAAACTTGGATGATGCCATTGGCTCTGGTATTCTCCAACAGCAGACATTACTACTAAGTTAGTAATAACGCACACTACTTAGGCCAAATGCCTTTTTCTAATAATCTCTCTTATTTCAAAACTCAGTACCAAATAGCTGTCTAAAAATGTTAGCGATTAACCTTTTAAAAAAAGTATTTGTTCAGCAACTGAGATATTTAGCTATTTCAATGTGCAAGGAAAGAGAAATAAAAAACTGTTTGATACCTTACACAGTGTTCCTCAAAGCTCGGTTTTCAAATGTGTGCTAAAATTCCCTAGATTATTATTAAAAATACAGACTTTTCTGGAGCTCTCCAGAAATCAAAATCAATGAATCAGAATATCTAACTTATTAAGTTCCTAACATTAAACTTGGAGAACTATGGTCTTAAACTTATGCACTTACTCAGTAAATATTTAATGCCAACTATGTGCTTTAGAAGTTGTTAATAATAACTACCATACACTGACTACATTTTATATGCTGTCCATCAAGCTAAAGCACTTTATATATATTTGAGTTAATTCTGTTCAACAATCCTTAGGGGTCTTAAGGCGCCATTTAATAGATAATAGAGTGAATAGAATGTCCAAGGTTATCCAGCTAACAAATGATCCTATTCTGAAACCCAGTTGATTCTAAAAACCTGAGGTCTTAATTGGTATTTATTTTGCCTTACCTGAATCTAGAGTCAACTTAAAATTGTTTCATAGTCCCACATGAGCAAATTTCCTTCTATACTAAGAAAGCAACTGATGGAATGCATTACTTAGCTTTCAAAATGATGGCTAAAAACATTCTACATCAATCTAAGAAATTCTGCCCTCCCAGAGCATTTTCTTCTGCTCCCTTCAGTGCATTTTCTTCCTTTTACTTATCTTTCATGATCAAATATAAGTCTAGGCTGGAAAGAGTAAATGAGCTTGGCAGTCTACAGTTTCCTCTTATGAAGTAAATTCCACAAACACTTCTCTTTCCATTGGGCAGAGAATGTTCCTAATGTGCTAAGTGTTAAGTATAATCTTGATTTTGCAATTTTTAATAGGCTCTCGCTTAATGCTACCAAAAAGCTACAAAAACACCAGGACCAATTAGGACTTGCAAGAGAATTTCAGGGAGAAAAATAACATTGCCTAAATTGGAATGTGGCCAGATGACAAACAGTTGCCTTGGATCTACTTTGATAACATCAAGATTCATCTGTATTTGAATTACAGGGCCCACACATCTTTCAACAACAGTCTGCAGGGTGCCAGGAGTTGAAATTCATGAAACTATGCTGACATCAGTACACTTTGCTGCAGATTACATTGCATCAGCTCTAAGAATAGGCAAAGTAGCAGCAATCTATATTGCCAGCCCAGTGCACTAACACATAGGATTGAAACCTAAACTCTTCTTTGCAGAATACCATAGAGGGGAGAGTATGCTGAAAAGTGGGAAGGATGTAACTAGCAATTCATGGCAAAGGTGCATGTAGCTGTATTCGAGAAGGCTTAGTTGTGACTGAAAAAATATGAATACTGTGAAGTAGTCTCATAAAAAAAAAATTAAACTTAATCTACTCAAGCCTCTAGACTAACTTCTGGTTTACAAGAAATAAGAAAAAAAGGGCACTTTTTCTAAAAAGACTCTTGGTGTGAACTCTTCAAAATGCCAATGTCACATGGGGTAAAAAAAGATGATGGAGGAACTGTTCAAGATTAAGACTGAGTTTTGACACCCAAATAACAACACACAAATCTTGACTGGGAGGTGGGGTGGGGAGAAGAAGGTATAAAATATATTATTGGGTAAGTTAGAGAAATTTGCACATGGACGGGGTTTTAAATATTACAGAATAGCTGTAATAATGATACTGTGTTTTGTAGAACTCCAAATTCTCAGGAAATTCATGTTGGAAATCTTATAAGTGTTGGAAATCTTATAAGTGTTTGCCTAACAAAGGTGTCTGTAACTTTTTTTCAAATGGTTCAATGACAATTATGTGAGGGACCGGGCACGGTGGCACAAGCCTGTAATCCCAGCACTTTGGGAGGCCAAGGCGAGAGGATTGCTTGAGCCCAGGGGTTCGAGAGCAGCATAGGCAACCTGGCGAGACCTCGTCTCTACAATGAATCAAAAATTAGCCAGGCATGGTAGCACGTGCCTGTAGTTTCGGCTACTTGGAAGGCTGAGGCAGAAGACTTGAGCAGGTCAACGCTGGGGTGGCTGTGAGCATGACACTACACTCCAGCCTGGGTGAGAATGAGACTCCAACTCAAAAAAAAAAAAAAAGTATGTGAGGAGAGATGAAATAAATAGGACAAAATGTTAACAAATGACAGATATAAAGAGTATTTTTTCATTCTTTCATATTTTAAATGTATAAATATCTTCATAATAAAACATTTGGGGAAAGATCATGTTGGAAACACTTCACAGGGGAAGTGTTTGAGAAACACAGACAATGTTGAATTTATGATAAACTGAGGTCCACAAAATGTGGCTGGGAGTGTCTTGGGCATCCAAGAGATATCCAATATATTCAATCTTTCAGTAAGTATTTACCAAAATAATACCATGTGCAGGAAGAAGTAACAAGTAGACAAATCTGATGCAAACCATTGTATTCAGGTGTAAGCATGGTAAGTGAAGCTAAAAACATAAGCAGTTGTTACATAAAATAGTGATTGTCCTAAAAGAGGTACAAAATCAGAGGAAATGACTTCCAGGTGGGGAGAATCTGGAAACACATCTCCCAGGATAACGGAATCGCAAAAGGTGGTTGCTACAACAGACTTCTATGATTAACCACCTAAAAAACAAGGGTAGTTCATTGTTTGTACTCATTGGCTGGAGCATGAGTACTAACCAGTAGAAAAATTAAGTACATAAGGGAGGTTTGCATTCTTATTGTTGATTAGGTGGGTATAAGTTATTTTTAATTTACCTGAAAGTTCTAGTCTTTTTCCTGCAGTTTTAGGCATCCAATCCGGTATTACCAAGATGACTGACTGAGTTCTTGACTCAAGCCTGTAGAAGGAACTACAAGATAACGTGTGATTCCCTTGTAAAGAGTCATATAAAAGATGGTATTTTTACATATATTCATAAATTGTTTAATAAACCGTAGACACGCAGGATTAGGAGAATATATCCCCATCCGAAATTGCCAAAATTTACAAAGACCCAAGAAAGAAGAGGCAAGGGAGGAAAAATCAGAACGGGAAGACAGGCGGCGGGGAAATAAGACTGAAGAGGTCTTGCCGCGGTGGCAGGGGATTACCTCTTCTTATCTGGCTCATAGTGGAAAACAATTTTCTCAAACTCCCGAATTCTACACCCTCCAAAGGTCAGGTAGTGAAAGTACTTAATAGGAACTTGCGGGGGCGTGGTCAGGAGCTCCGTTTGCCGGAGTTATGGGCTCCGCCCCGGGGCCCGCGCCCTGCATGGTAGGCTCCGGCGGGACTGCGACCGTCAGGGGAGCGGCCTCGCCCCACAGGGAGCCTCAGAAGGGCGGAGGAAGGGAGGGCCGCCGCCTGGGCAGCCCGGAAAGAAAACCTCCCAGCGGAAGCGGCCCTGAGCCCCGCTTGCCATCTTAGCGCTGCGTCCACCAGGGACCGCTTGGCTCAGCCTGGACCTCGGCTGGGGGCCGAGGGACACTCACCTCACTTTGTAACTCAGGTCAAGAATCGGCACCCCCTAGGGCGCGGGCGGCGGAGGCTATTGCCACCCTTCCGCCATGACCCCATTCGGAAGTGCCAAATGCAACTTCCGGATGGAGAGGGATTTTTCGGGGACTTAAATTGATGTCCACCTAGGTAAGTGACCAGACGTTTCAGTAGAATAAAGGCCAGGAACCGGGCCTGTAGTTCGGAGTATGAATTAACTTGTCTGACATGGGATGTCTGGCCACCTATGGTACCTCTTTGGGCCTACTTACAGACGTATCTTGTCCCGGACGTCTCAGCTGTTGCCCGGGGTAACAGATTTGGGCGTAGGAAAAAAAAACTACGTCACCTGGAAACAGGAAGCCAGGAAACTTCCGTTGCCATCATCAGTTATGGCTGCCTTAGCTTCAACAGCAACTTCCCATTAGGAGTTGCCACTCTACCCAGCCGGAGGCTTGCTCTGTAGCCCAGCTAGCCAGCGGCGCCCAGTGGGCGGGAGACCTCGTAGACGAACCGAGGAAAGGAAAAGGGCGGAGAGAGGGAAGCTGGCGCCAGCGCCTCGCCCTGATTGGGCAGCATCTCTTGCTCTGGCTCCGCCCATTTTCCTTGCCTAGCGAGTGACGGGCCCACGCCGGAGGGGTGGGGCGGGGCGGTTGGAGCGAGTGTGTGGAGGGGCGGGGCGAGTGGGGGAGGGGCGGGCGGCGGGCGGGGGGCGGTGGTTGGGCAGCGTCGCTTCTTAGGAGGAGGAAGGAGGGCGAGCGAGGAGGATGGCGGAGTCGGGGTTCCTGACGGTAACCAGGGCCGAGGAGGAGGCGGCGGGTGTTTGTTGGTCGGCCCTTCCTGCTCGCCTTCCTGTCGGTCGGGCG